TAAGTCAAAACCTTGAAAAGCTACCATACTTGGCATACTTGGCAAAATCTAAGTAAGCTCTGTCTCCATATAGTGAACAGGAGCTAAAATCTCTATTCTGTTTTTTTAGTCTTCCAGCGATGGTTTTCCTATTTCCTCTGCAGTATCTCTTTTAGGGATTTTTACCCCTCAATTTCCAGTCACTGTAACAAACCCAAATTCCATTCTCTGAATTCTCAGGCCAATTAAGATGGTGTGGCTTTCTGCTTGAGTTACAGTTGTCCCGTAATAGGTGGACCCTAGAGTATGCTCAGGAAAATCCATAAGCATACTGATAAACACATGGATCTTTCTTTATATCTCTTTTATCATTTTTAAAAATTTTATTTGCTTTTAATTGGAGGTTAATTGCTTTATGATGTTGTATTGCTTTCTGCCATACCATTCATCAGCATGAATCAGTCATAGATATACACATGTCCCCTCCCTCTAGAACCTCCCTCCCACCCCACTCTAGATTATCACAGCATACCAGGATGAGCTCCCTGCACTATATAACATCTTCTCATTAGCCACTTATTTTGCATATGGTAATGTACATATTTCAATGTTACTCTCTCAATTTGTCCTACCCTCTCCTTCCCCTACTGTGTGTGTAAGTTTATTCTCTATGCCTAAGCCTCAATTCCTGCCCTGCAAATAGGTTCATCAGTACCATTTTTCTCGATTCCATACATATGTGGTAATATACGATATTTTGTTTTTCTCTTTCTGACTTACTTCACTTGTATAACAGGCTAGCTTCTGTATAACAGGCTCTAGTTTCATCCACCTCACTGGAACTGACTCAAATTCATTCCTTTTTATTTCATTGCATACATGTACCACAACTTCTTTATCCATTCATCTGTCAATGGACATTTAGGTTGCTTCCATGTCCTGACTGTTGCAAATAGTGCTGTGATGAACACTGGGGTAAACATATGGATCTTATCCAGTGTAGTTTCTTATTTCAAGGATCAAATTCCCTGCAGTTTCTGCCTGCTTTGGTATCTGACGAACACATTTAAATAGCTGTCTTTTAATAATTTAACCAGAGTTTCTAGTTGCTATCTGTAGGAAGGACAGCCTGACAGGAGCTACTCCACCATGATTAGAACCAGAACATACACAGGTAACTTTTTCATTTGATTTCACCGAAATGATAGCTGCCTTCTACACATGCAGCAAAGGCTGTTTACAATTTGGGGATGAAGCTTTCATTTTTTCATCACTGGCTTCCACTTCTAGATCATCATCACGGCTTTACTAAAAGGTAGATGCACTAAAGAAACAGATGCTTGCCTTCCTTGTAACAATTTCAAATGAAGTACCATGTCTGCTTTTGAATAATTCAGTGTCTATAATAGAGATTTAGGACCTCAGCTTTCTAAAACTCTTCAGCCTGAAAGATGTGATTTTACAAATAGTGCCTTGGAAACATCTTCTTGACTGACCATTTATGTAAATAAGGGAAACCTCTGTTTTAAATAGCTTTACTGGGTATACTGGGCAAATTAAGGGAAAGAGAGCCAGGTAAAAGAACTTAGTGTGCTGGGAAATGTGGAGTGTTTAGTTTGTAGGATGTGGTTTATAGATTCCTGGTTGGAATGGGCCATACCATGAGAGTTCCGGGTGGGTGCCATGCCACGCAGGAAACAATGGTAGCCTGCCCCCGAGAGTAAGCCGGGGAGCTAACAAATTCAGTGCGCATTGAAAGGCTTCATCAACACGCCTTCTGCAGGGCCTGCCCTCTCTGCTGGGTCACTGACCTCTATAAGTGCACAGTCATGGCCATCGCCTGACAGGCATGAAAAGGAGACAGACAATGGGCGAGGACGAGACATGCTCAGAGCGGGAAAATGCCCTCATTCAAGGGATTTACTGGTCAGGGTGTCTTGTCCTATATCTAACTCCAGAAAGCAAGCGATGGGGTTTAAACCACACATATCAGACTGAATAAATACAAGGAATGATTATTATCCACATAAACATACCCCTGAGAATTGTGATGAGTTTTACAGCAGCACAGAACAACGTAGAAAGTTGGCTCTTTGCTACGAAAATTTTCATCAAGTTCTAAAAGCGTTACATCATTAAAATTGATTAGAGCATCCTACAGCCTGATTTCAAAGGCATTCCAGACCTCAGAGAGAGCATCATGTAGCAGCTTCAAGTGGGGGGAAAATAATTGAATTTGGAGCCTGAATTCATCACAAAGTAGCTGTGTAACCTTGAACTACTTGCTGCAAACCACCATTCTCCATCTGTATGAAGAATGGGTGTTCTTCTAGTAGAACGGTCCATTTCCTTGGTATCTTAGGGTATCTGTGTTTACTGTCCCCTTGCAGTCTCAGATGATTTGTATAGCTTCTTGTTCAGGAAGTTTAAAAACCATGTTAACCCAGTGATTTTTCAAAACAAGTTCCTGGAACCCTAAATGCTTCCTCAGTCCAATAATATGCCCTGGTATTATTTTACACATTAGAATTGCATGTAGGCTTGTGTTTATTTTTATTTTTAAGAAGGCCCATTAGGAGGAGGAAAAAGCATTTGAAAATCCATTCTCAAGGATGTTTCTTCTACTTCCAAAGGCCTATAATTTTTGTAATGAAAAAGGAAGGCATAAATGTGTACCTCTTACTGATAAACATTTTTCAGAGGTTTTTATCAGTCACATTAAATGACATATCACTCCTATTGATTCTTGACCAAAATACTCTTCTGACAGAGAAATAATGTACTACGGATATGTATGGAAAGACACGTGTTCTGAGAAGCTGAATCTAGAATGGGGACACTGTCCTAGCTTGTATACACACCCCTCCCCACTAAAGAGACAGTCAAGTAGAGTGGTGGTGTCAACTGGTTCTGACTGCATTTCATGGCCTCTCAGTCCTACTGCCCTTATCTGAAAATTACGTCTACCTACAGTGCCTCGGCATAAAGAATTCTACAGGTAAAGAATTCGCCTGCAATGCAGAAGAAGTGGGTTTGATTCCTGGGTCAAGAAGATCCCCTGGAGCAGGAAATGGCAACGCACTCCAGTATTCTTGCCTGGGAAATCCCATGGAGCCTGGCAGGCTATAGTGCATGGGGTCTCAAAAGAGTCAGGCACGACTTAGCAACTCAACAACAACAAATCTAACTTTAACATTAACTGAACCTGAACATAATTACAGGCAAAAATTTGCAGAAAAAATAAGTGTATGATGCATTTCCAAGCCAAATAAAAATGATTTCTATTATTGATCGCTGAGAAGTAATCTTTCTCACTACTACCTTCTATAAATACAAGGCAAATAAAGAGGTGTTAAAGTGAAAGTGTTAGTCATTCAGTTGTGTCCGACCTTTTGTGACCCCATGGACTGTAGCCTGCCAAGCTCCTCTGTCCATGGGATTCTCCAGGCAAGAAGTAGCCTGGAGCCTCTAGCAAGTAGCAAGGGTAGCCATTCCCTTCTCCAAGAGATCTTCCCAACCCAGGGATTGAACCTGAATCTCCTGCATTGATTGCAAGTGGATTCTATACCATCTGTGCCACCAAGGAAGCCCAACTAAAGATGTGAATGTGTGTGAATAATCTGCAAGTGGGTTCCTAACTACAAAATATATATTCAATATTTGCAGTAGCTTTCCCTTCCAGAACCTACTCCCTTCTGTGGTACAATTCTATTCCCTCTTTGAAAAAGTAAAGAAAGGTAATCCTGGAGAGAATGACATCAAGGTTCATTTTAATAGTCAAGATAATTGTCCTTGACCGCTGAAGACCTGGGCTCTCTGAGAGAACAAAGTGTCTGATTAGGTATTAAGGGGAAAGCCTTGTCCATCTTCTGGAAGAAGAGGGTGATACTTCCTGCGAGTCTCTAAGCCTTTGTGGTTGAAATAACTGTTCTGGGGGCTTCATGAGAAACACTGAAAGAGCAATCATTATGTTTATTATATTTATCCACACCACCAAATGCAAAGGTGCTGGAACACCCTCTAGGAGTCTTAATTTTGTTGAGTAAAAACACACAAGTCATTCCCATAGCCTAAAATATCACAGACACTGAACAGTACACACTTAGCTTTTTAGATGTCTTTTTAGTTCTTTATTTCTCTATTCCTTTATAACGGTTTTCTTGCTAGAGGGTGGAAGGGGGCCCATTTAAATGTAATAGCGACGACTGTTAGAATTCTGAGGGAAGTAAGTGTAGTCACGCCACCCATTTCATCCCATTTCTTCCTGTGTGAGGTAGGGTTTGAGTCATATTAATTTGTCCCAGACCACACCAAAATTAAGCTGTTCACGTCCGAAACATTCCATGAATTCAGTTGCGAGGAGGAATTTGTTCAGCCATGTTATGGATTCATATTTCCCTTCTCTCCCAAGAAGGTCTGGGTGTCCTTATAAGGGAGAACGCCTCTGTTTCCCACAGTGTGGAGAGCTAAATAAATACTCTCTCACAGTCAATGCAGAGGTAACTTTTTTTTTTTTAATGGATTAAAAAAAAAAAAAGCAGTTCTGAGAGTCCATCACTGTTTCAGCATCCCCATTCAGAGAGGGGGCTTTTGTCTCTCTCTCAGTGGGAGCTGCCATTTTAATGGGGCCTCCAGCGGGGCCTAGTTTGATGATGTGAAGTAGGCCTGCAAGAATTGAGGAATTTTTTTTTTTAATTTAGATTTTGGTCAATTTAACCATACTGGCTTTCAAATGAACTGAAATTTTAAAAAGTGAATCCATGGTAAATGTCTCTGAGAAGTTGCTACAAGAGAATTTCAGCAGTTTCTCATTTATGAAACTTTTTCACGTGAAAACCAATCCCTCGACGTCCTAATAAATATCACCTCCCCCCTCCCACTAGCCCCCATCTGTGTGCAAAGATGAAAAGTGGGAGGGGGAATTCATTCTTTAAATTATGCCTATATACACACACACACATAAAGTGGGCACAGGCATGCACTTCTAAGTGCTAAATAAAAGCATTTTCCAAAAATGGCTTTTAGCTGATTGGTGCCACCAAGCCAGGATCGGGGTGGCTTGGTGGTAGTTTTGGGGTTTCCCTTTGGCCTGAGTCGGGGGCAAAAAGATACAGGCAGTACTGCCCCCACCCATGCCCCCCTCCAGTGCCAAAGTTCCTCTCCACCCCACAGGGACACCAGCCTCCCAAAGCACACTTTCGAGACACAACTGTCGCTCTCAGTAAGCAGGCCCGAGGCCGCAGAGCCAAGCTGGCCCACCGGCCGCTTCCCACAGACCTGCCCTGCCCCTGCCCTGCGGCCGCTGGCTGCGTCCGGCAGCCGCAAGCCCAGATGCCAGCCTCTGGAATGTGCTTCATGTTCCCAGGCCTCTGCCCGCCGGCCTCGGGGAAGGCAGTTCCCTGGCCTTGCCGGGCTGGGCCAGCAGGGGAGCTGTTGCTAGATCCCATTACAGATGAGCCTTCACCCCTCCGTGGAGGGTTTGTCTGCGCCAAGTCCATGCAGGACGCACGCTGAGCTCCTCTGCATGGTCGTGCTGCACCATCTGAGCTCCCGGGCATTCCTGTGTGCATGTGGGTACGTGAGCTCACATTCTTACAGAGAGGCACTCACTCGTTGCAGAAACAAATGGATAGGTGAATAAGTGAATGAGGTTTTTAAAAAAGCATGGAAGAACGGGTGTTTTTCTGAAAAAAAGCAAATATCTGAGAAAGAACCATAGGCCTGTATACGTTGTCACGTGTATCTATCTCTGCTCCCATTATTGGGGAGTTTACATAAAGATGTCTTACAGTCAAGTAACCAGCAAACAAGAAAAGCACTCCTTGATGAAACAGGGGGGCACGGAGTTGTCCCTACAAAATAATTTTAAATTCAACTTAAATTGTTCCATAATGTCCTTTTTACTCAAAAGTATCTATCACAGACAACCCTGCATGCCAATATATACATTCTTTTTTTCCCCAGTATATATATTCTTTTTAGAGGTCTGTAATATTTCAGAATACCAATGGTGGTGTATTTAGTCCTTCCAAAATGATTTATGGTCATTTAAGTTGTCCCCAAGTTTTCAGTGATACAAATAATGCTGGCATAAATATCCTTGTATGTACACCATATTGTATTTACTATAATCTCTTCTTTTTTGCCATGCAGCTTGCAGAATGTTAGTTCCCCTACATGCATACATGCTAAGTCACTTCATTCGTGTCCAGCTCTTTGAGACCTCATGGACTGTGGCCCACCAGGCTCCTCTGTCCATGGGATTCTCCAGGAAAGAATACTGGAGTGGGTTGCCATGCCCTCGATCTTCTGGATTCAGGGATCGAACCTGCATCTCTTACGTCTCCTGCATTGGCAAGTGGGTTCTTTATCACTAGTGCTACCTGGGAAGCCCCTTGGAATTCCCCTTGGGAGTCCCATATGAAGGATTAAACCCAGGCCCCAGACCACCAGGGAATTCAAGCATGTCTTATTTAGATTCAGTTGCCTGAAACTGTCAATTGAGCAGACAGAGGCAGCAAGAAGTGAAGCACAGGTGTTATATAAAGTGTGAGGCTGCAAATTGCAAAGCAGTGAGTTACAAGTGGCTTACAGAAACAAAGTACACTCATCAGCAGTTGCACTAGGGTTTGAAAGGTATTATTTTTCACAGTCAGGAGACTATGTTCATAAATTCTTCTTTCATATATCACACCTGTAGATATATAAAACTCTGTCTCAAACTTTGTAACTAAAGTGGGTATGGAATCCCATCTGCCATAATAATCATGAGGATAGGAATAGTTGTAAAGTTCTCTGTAGCTAAAATGACTTTAGAGGTTACAGCAACCTATAGCCATTTTCCCCTTACTTCTCAAGGCCTGAAATTAAACATTAAAATTTATTTTTCCTTCCGTTTGATCTCCTCTTTATTGTACATTTTTTATTTTATATATTTTTAAGATCCCCCCACATCTGCATTAATTGAGTCTAGATTCATTCCTTTATCCATTCAATTATTGATATAGATAAGAATATAATAGAGCTCAATAATCTTCAGTGTTCCAGGACAAAGTCAGCACAACTTAACCAGCTGGGCCAATGAGTCCTTTTTATTCATTTATGTTTTATATTTTTAAGTCATTTTATGAATAATTTCTAGAAATAACAGGAGAGTTAAAATGATTTTGTTAGAAATAATAAGAACTTAAACATAGTAAATTCAAATTTACATTCCATATTTTCCTGGTTTTGAAGGTGTCTATGCCCAAAATGGGCATCATCTTTAAAATTCTACTAACTGTCCATTGCTTGTCATGCAGAATCATATCTACACTGTAAATACTTATTCCAGATTTCAAATACCTCTTTAAGAAGTTTTAATGTATCATTATTCCTGATTCTTATTGTGTTTGGCGTTATCAAAATGCAATTCAGGTCTGGAACATATAGCTAATAAAACTGGCCCATCACAATGCTTTGCAGAAAGCACTGGATAGAAATGGAAATTAACAAATTATTGTCTGCTATGCATGCATGCTCAATTGCTTCAGTTTCATCTGACTCTTTGCAACCCACACTAGACTGTAACCCACCAGGCTTCTCTGTCCATGTGATTCTCCTGGCAAGAATACTGGAGTGGGTTGCCATGCCCTCCTCCAGGGGATCTTCCTGACCCAGGAATTGAACCCATGTCAGGAGCATGGCCAGAAGCATGGTGACCAGAGGTAGGGCTTTGGGGTCAGCAAACTGTTTGAAAGCTTAGCCTTGCCATTGATTAGCTGCATGATCTTGCAGCAGTTCCTTAAAGTCTATAAGCCTCAGTTTCTTTATCTGTCAAATGGAAATAACCTCTTTATCTAGTATTTGTGTGAAGGTTAAATGTCTATCCTATAGTTAGGGCTCAGTGAAGTCATTGTTATTATTGGATTTTCCTTGTATGATTATCCTTCCCCAAATGCCCTGTGTCCCCAAAGCATATCCCCAGAGATATGCTTTCCTTTTCCCCAAATAAAATCTGCTCTCAGAAGAACATCAGAAAAATTATTTTCTAAAAACCATAGCTGCTAAGTGCATTTTTCAGAGGTGACTAGCATGGTTTTGCATATAGTAGACATCAAAATCGGAGAAGGCAATGGCACCCCACTCCAGTACTCTTGCCTGGAAAATCCCATGGATAGAGGAGCCTGGTGGGCTGCAGTCCATGATGCTGCTAAGAGTCGGACACGACTGAGCGACTTCACTTTCACTTTTCACTTTCATGCATTGGAGAAGGAAATGGCAACCTACTCCAGTGTTCTTGCCTGGAGAATCCCAGCGATGGGGGAGCCTTGTGGGCTGCCGTCTATGGGGTCACACAATCAGACACGACTGAGGCGACTTAGCAGCAGCAGCAGCAATCAAAATATTTAGAGTCAATTTTAGCAACTGATATTACTAAAAGCATCTACCTTATTAAATCCTAAGAAAAAACATTTCATTCATTCAACAAATGATTACTAAGCACTCATACTGAGTTTCAGGCACTGTGCTAGATACTTGTTATATGTGTATTAGTATTCCAAGCTGATAATGTACTACATTTGTACAACTTTGACTTGAACAAACCAAAACATAAGTAATAGTTGGATTTCAAATACTGGTGACTGTATAAGGTGGGAAGTAAATTTCAGGATCCTCCTAATCACAACCCACTATATTTTATAGTTTAGTCAGCATGATGGAGAAGAGAGTTTTAGGGGCCTTAGGAGATGAAGAAGAATGATGGGGAATAATAAAGGAGGAAAAAATTAAATGAACAATTTAAATTCCAAGTAAAAGATCATTTTACCAGGGTGAAAATAATCACACAAACAGCCCTAATTTCAAATGGTTTCTTGACTGAGATCCAAGGTGGCAGACTTCATTGTTGTTGTTTAGTTGCTCAGTTGTGTCCAACTCTTTGGGACCCCAAGGACTGCAGCACACCAGGCTTCCCTTAATAAACTATTAAACTTCCCTTATTAAACTATTTATAGTTTATAATGGTGGATGTATAGTTTATTCTGTGATTTACAACCTACAAAGGATGTGTATTGAGTTATTCCATGGAAGCAACTAGTCTGGCCTTGAAGGGACTTGGCATCACCTTTTGGTAGAGGAGCAAGGAACACGAGACTCTGATTCTTTCTCATCAGGAACTTCCAAATGAATGAGGGAGAGACGCATGCTCCGTCCTTCAGGACCTGGTTACCTGCTGAGTGTAGGCTCCTGGAGGCCCCACGCATCTTAATACTGAGAATGCTCCTAGTGTGGTGGTTCGTGTTCAGTCATTCAGTCACGTCTGACTCTTTGTGACCCTGTAGACGGCAGCCCACCAGGTTCCTCTGTCCACAGGATTCTCCAGGCAAGAGTCCTGGAGTGAGTTGCCATTTCCTTCTTCAGGGGATCTTCTGACTCAGGGATCGAACCCAGGTTTCCTGTGTCTCCTGCATCACAGGGGGATTCTTTACCACTGAGCCACTGGGGAAGTCCAAGTGATACTCATAGAGTTTATCATCCAACTTTACTCCTGCTGACTGAAAGTCCCCTGGGACAACCCAGGCTATTCGACAACATGCTCAGCCTTGGAGGCTCATAACTAAACCCCGGAATACGTGCAGGAGATGCCACGGATCCTGAGATGTAGAACTGCCTTAGCAAACACACATCGCTCATAGTATGAGACTCGTAACATTCCCTGCCTCCAGAGTTAACTGGGGCTGCTTACCTCGGGGGCTCCCCCGTCTTCTGAGAAAGCAACGCGGGTGCTAGCAAGCTACTTGTGCACGGGACAGTGAGTGCAAGGTGCTCCATGCCATCAGCACAAATGCCGAGGCTTCAAACCAAGCCAACCAGTGTCTGCAGGGGGAAGGGAACCTCAACAGCAGAGGTGTGACCTTCTGCTCCACGGGATGCAGACATACCAGGCACGTCCAGTGAACCACAGGAGCTGGTCCCAGGACTGGTTTGTAAGAGGGTTTGTGTCTGAAGGACCAGAGCAGAGAGTGGGCTTTCAGGTGAAGGAGATCACAGAGAACAATGTACTCTGCATTATGGGTTCTCGTTCCTCACCTCAGCCCCACGGTCTCATGTCTGAGCCCTGAGGAGATAGAAACTGAAGGAAGAGTTTTCCTGAGGAACTCTGTGAGGAAATATAAACCTCACTGCTTGGGGCCTGGAGACCAGGTCCAACAGCCAGATAGCAAGAACTGTGGTCCCCATGCTGGGGTTGGATGCAGCAGCATTCTCACCAGGGCTCTGGGGGATGCTGCCCTGTCCCAGCATGGTAAGGATATGCACTTTAGAAGGCATCATGGCACCTTTATCCCAGACAAGGGCATCCATGGGATGGTGGTACCATTTAATGCCGTCAGGAGTGGCTGAAACCAAAAGAGAAGCTGTAGCAAAAATCACTTGAGGACATTAGGTGTGAGTTTCTTTTAGAAACCCAAGGTCTCCTGTGAATCAACAGGTAAGATTCCAAGCCTGTGCTAGCTTC